TCTTTTTTTGCTTTTCTTTTTGTTTCCTGAGCCCGCGCCTTCGACCATCTCCGTTTGGTACCGTCGACTTCAGTCAACTTTGGCGAAAGCTGGCCTGATCACCCATGCTCTTGTCAACGTACTCAGTCGATATATTGGTTTCGAATGCTTGGCATACACTTTGTCTCGAACTTGGTCGTTATGGTCGCTTCTGGTTCATCGGCTCAACGTGGTTTCGTCCTACGTCTGCAGCGTTTCTGGTCCGAACCCCTACGAACGCCCTCTTCAGATTCTGGATACAAACCACTCTGGTGTAGCATGCCAATTCAAGCAACAAATACAGCACATCGCTCCTGGTACCGTTCTCCGAGAACGACCTTCGTTGGCAACTCGACGATCAACGATCGCTTTCCTGTTCGCCAATTCTTCCGTCCTACAATCGCTCGTCAGCTGATCAGTCCCACGATTCAAACCGCTATCTATCGAAAGTGTAAACCCTTTCTAGCGGGGGGCTCCTGTAGTGACTCACGTTTATCACGAGAACACGGCTGGTTTAATAAAAACAATTATTACTATAACCAACTGTACCAGTGTTTGTTTTAACGTGCTTTTGTTTGACTGTGCTAATGACAGCTATTTTGTGCTTCCATTCTTTTGCTTACGCTTCGATTGTAACTTCGCGCGAATTCGGTTACCTTCTGTAACCAAGGTTGTATCCTGGCACGATCTCGGTATCCTTTCGATGCCACGAGATCGCCAGCAAATAAACCTCGACTTGGTCCATTAATTGCCTTCTGATATTCGGCTTCTCGGGGATTTTATGGAGTCATTTGGAACGAGCCTCTTACGCCTTCTGATCTAATTGGCACGTGTTTCTTGGTAGCGGTGTTCATAGTTAATCTCAACTCGACGCCACGCTATAATTGGTGACCCGTATTTTGGAACACGCCTCAACTTCTGATCAAATCTTCCAAAGAAGCCAATTCGGTGAGTCTATGATTTATCTATCCACGTCTGTCGTATATTTTCATATTTTTTAATATATAATATACGCGACATGACGGATAACGATAAGAATAGTATTAATATAATAGACTCACGTATGTGTACCGAATCCTTGTCACTTTTTATTCGCGTGATGATGAATCTCACGCTTTATTCGAGAAATGTTACCCTATTAACGATTCTCCTCGCTGACCCGGCTGCTTGGTACGGAATGCATACGCATAAGCATATCCGTCTACCACCCAGCACCAAATGGTTAAGTTGAACGGTCTCACTGCCAACTTAAAAGTGTTCTACGAGCACACGAAAACGGCAACTGGCACGAAACCTTACCGCTCGTTCTTTTAGAGGTGAGAACGAGCTTAAAGGCAGATATCCAATGTTCCGCCACTGGACTTGTATACGGCACGACATTGCGTCTGCCCGGAGAATTCTTCACACCACGGAGCAGACCTAATTTCGGTAAATCAGACTACGTCCATCGACTCTGCATTTATGCGAACGCTGGCTCCGGTGTCAACTCGAATACAACATCGACAGGTCGCTCTCCCTCGAGAGTTGTCTACCTGTTCACATGTTTTTGTACGAGTAGGTTCGGTGCGCGAACCTTGGCAACAACCTTACGAAGGCCCTTTTCACGTGATCGCTCGTCACGAAAAGACCTTCAAGGTTGATCGATATGGACGCGTCGAGATCGTCAGCATTGATCGTCTCAAACCAGCACACGTCGATGACAGTGCCCTATCTGACAACCTGAGATTCAATGCTAGACCTATGAAACCTAGCGGGATCCTTAAATCTTCTTCAGGTCCCACGCTAGAGGCATCTGAGACCTCATTCTCACGTCCCGGTCAACAGCACGCGTCATCTGCACCGTCTACGGATGAGACGACAGTCTCACGTCCAGATCAGCAGACCACGCCGCCCTTGACTTCGGATGAGATTGCGGGCTCACGCGACGCGAACGAGACTGCCGTCTCACGTTCCGGTCGCCGAGTACGGTTGCCCGTACGCTTCCGTGAATAGTCGCACAGTCAACAACCGATACGGTGTAGGATTACTCCTATGCTACACGCACGCTACACTCTTCTCTTTTTTGCTTTTCTTTTTGTTTCCTGAGCCCACGCCTTCGACCATCTCCGTTTGGTACCGTCGACTTCAGTCAACTTTGGCGAAAGCTGGCCTGATCACCCATGCTCTTGTCAACGTACTCAGTCGATATATTGGTTTCGAATGCTTGGCATACACTTTGTCTCGAACTTGGTCGTTATGGTCGCTTCTGGTTCATCGGCTCAACGTGGTTTCGTCCTACGTCTGCAGCGTTTCTGGTCCGAACCCCTACGAACGCCCTCTTCAGATTCTGGATACAAACCACTCTGGTGTAGCATGCCAATTCAAGCAACAAATACAGCACATCGCTCCTGGTACCGTTCTCCGAGAACGACCTTCGTTGGCAACTCGACGATCAACGATCGCTTTCCTGTTCGCCAATTCTTCCGTCCTACAATCGCTCGTCAGCTGATCAGTCCCACGATTCAAACCGCTATCTATCGAAAGTGTAAACCCTTTCTAGCGGGGGGCTCCTGTAGTGACTCACGTTTATCACGAGAACACGGCTGGTTTAATAAAAACAATTATTACTATAACCAACTGTACCAGTGTTTGTTTTAACGTGCTTTTGTTTGACTGTGCTAATGACAGCTATTTTGTGCTTCCATTCTTTTGCTTACGCTTCGATTGTAACTTCGCGCGAATTCGGTTACCTTCTGTAACCAAGGTTGTATCCTGGCACGATCTCGGTATCCTTTCGATGCCACGAGATCGCCAGCAAATAAACCTCGACTTGGTCCATTAATTGCCTTCTGATATTCGGCTTCTCGGGGATTTTATGGAGTCATTTGGAACGAGCCTCTTACGCCTTCTGATCTAATTGGCACGTGTTTCTTGGTAGCGGTGTTCATAGTTAATCTCAACTCGACGCCACGCTACAACGTAACCCTTCCGACGTTGCTAAGTAATCTTGCAGGAGTATTGGTTGGGTGTGATGCTCTAGATGCACATTGGGTCCTGAAACAACGCCTGGGAGACAAAAAGCATCCGTTTGGTGTGCGTACTCATCTCGGTCGGATGATTATAGGTCCTGAAGGAGTACCAAGGTCTCCGCATCGAGTTCAGTGGTGCCATTGTTCTACTAATGATATTTTGCGAGATATAGAAAAATTATATAATCGAAAATGCAGACATGTTTCGTAATGGATATTCGGTCGAAGACAATAGAGCTCTAGAAATAGTTAGTAATTCCTTCAAACTGGAGGGTGGCCATTTCCAAGTTGCTCTACCGTTAAAGTATGATAAGCCAAGGATAACAAATAACTAGGCATTTCGGTAGAAAAATAATACGAAAGGTTAAGTTTAAGTTACAGTAGTTTGGGAATAGAAGAGGGTATGCCAGTGAATTATATATCAAACAAAAGCTTATGGTTTAAAGAATAAACTAGGGGCAAAACTAAATGCTAGTGTCTCAAAAGGTTTGAACTAAGTAAAACAACGCCCCCTAAAATAGCTTTTATTGTTTGTTATGGCTTTGTTTCTCTGTTCACATCACTTCTCAAGGCATTTTATATGTAAATGGAGGTAATAATTACATCTTTTTTCAAGCGATCGGGAGCTTATGTAAACAATTAACAAGTCCTAGAATTATCTTGCAGCCCAACCTATTAATTTCCAGATTTTATTAGATTACCTCAATCTGTCTGTTTTGAACCCCAGCCTAAAAGGACCCCAGGATTGTTCACGCCCGCATATATAATATTGATGTCCTTTGTTGGTCTCATTCCTCTCATCATTAATGTGAATTGCTGCATATTATAGCATGCCTCAACGCTACACTTTAATACATATACGGTTGTGGGATACTAGTTAGAAACCATAAAATAAATTCGCATTTTTCTACCCCAATCGCTGTTGTGGTTTTTTGCAAAAGACTAATATGCCGTTATTGGAGAACTAATTATCAAATTTCAGACCAAACACATCAGGAACCTATATACTAGATCTCTTGCAGATCATTGGCAGCAGGACTGTATGTCAGAACTTTAGAACTGGAACCAAAGCTATCATGTTCAGTGATTGATATCACGAAAGTCTATCAATACTGGAAACTGAATAGAAGCAATCAGGTGTGTAATTTCTGGGTAGGCATCGGTGTCGAAGAGTTTCTATAAACAGCACCAGGTTGCTAGACAAAATTTGCTGTAAGTCTATACTGATTTAAATACGTCGTTCGCCTTTCAGTCACGAACTAGAACACAATATATCGCATTATATTATAATTAACCTACCACTGTTACTTTAATATTGCTTCTCGAAGTAAAAACCAGGAAAGTACTTTTGTGTAGTGATTTTGAATCTCAAAAGTCATTGTTTACAAATTTTAAAAGTTACAAAGAAATACACAACCAGTCCACGATTTTTATTGACTCACCCTAATCGGTCCAGTTTTTACATTTTCGTCACTACTAGGAATTAGAGTTAAAAGTGATATCTTACGAAATTGATGTCATCTGACAAGCAATAATGTGGAAGGGAATATTTTATCTCAGAAAGTTTGTACAATGACTAATCTTGCAAATGAGGACAAGGTGACTTGATTACCGAGTAAGATTCATGCTTAATGCAGATAACTTATGTAACACTAACTACTTTAGCAAGAATATGAATAACCTATCCTTCTTTTGATCAGATATTTTCTCCATTTGTAAAGATACTTTTTTAGTCGATCATCATCAATTACACGCACTAATATTAAAGCTCAGATGTTTCAGTTATACTCACTTTAATGTACAGTGTTTAGGAACGACTATATTAATTGATAAAGAAGTGTGCTAAGTAGAATAGTAAATTAGCTGTTTGATTTAACTAGTTGTGAATTGGAAGTGGTGGTTTAGTAAATTCTGTACCAAAAAAACCCAAATAACCACATTAACCGAGGGACTTAAAGCTTTAAAACAAAGCAAGAATGTAATTAATTTTTATTTAGATTTGATTACAAGAATTTACTGAACGAAAACTGTGTTATGAAAGAAGTTAGAAATAATAATTATAGTAGCACTAATATTCGTAATAGTGTTATTAAGACGAAGAATTTAAAACTTTGTATTTACATGTTATGTTCGTATTTTTTTGCATTAACTGACTAATTCATGAAAGATATATGTTTCATAATTTTGCTTGCCGATCTTGAAGAAGATAATAATTATTAACATGAGTAAAAAGCAATGGCAATAACACAGATGGGATTATGTGGAAAGTATATCAAAGACAGATAACATTAAGAAAGAAAAGAATGATCGCAAAATTTACCTACATATTCCATGATCTAAACAACAATAGGCACTATGAATGGAGTGTACCGTGTACCCACTTTTTCAGCCCAGAACAAAAGACCATTTCAAAGGACTACAAGTAATAACTCGTTATTCAATCACAATTAGTTAGTAATGAAGTCGATAGTGAAATGGTCGAATATAACGAATATATAACGGCGCTATGGATGGTGGGGGATATTATGCAGAAAGAGTGAGTAATACAGCAAAAATAATTCTTAAAAAACATATACCTCCCTGTAGATGAATATGACAAATTCAATTTAACCTTTTGGAAGAATAAATGCATGATAACAATAGCCACTTACGTAAGTAGTGTCTCCTAAACAAGACTATTTCATAAACAACCACACATTTCACAATATACCGATCATATATATAGATATATATTATTTGTATTCGACAATATTATATTCTTTGCAGCAACATAGAAGGCACATTACACTTATATTTAAGTATAATAGGATGAGTAACAAACTATGGAGCATGAAGAAAATTGTTCCATATCAACAAAATCAGAGTTCATAGAAAACAGGATGAACGTATATAGAGAATAATGGTACAAGTATAAAATAACTTTGTCATTAATATTGCATATTCAAACAGAAGCAATGTTAGAAAAACGAGAAAAATGAAGGCATGGGGAAAGTCCTAAAAGAATACCAACTATTCATATACATTTACGGAAATATCTATTATATTTTTGTTGGTATTAATGTGCATATGAAATACGTGCATCACTTGAACCGGGTTAAATGGAACCTCCGGAAAATAAGAGGCTACCATATATATAGAAAATGTGTAAATATAAAAGGATAGATCAGAGATACAACAACTGGACAATCTCTTTCCTTAGCTTTTAACAAAAACAATGAGTATGCAACAATTAAAAATTGTCAAGTGTAGAAAACCGTCAAAGCAAAAAGAAAATGAGCATTATGAATTCAGAATTGATTTTCCGAAAATAAAACATGTGAAACGATTTTGATCTGTTAGGAAAAATACATCCCAGTCCGATGCAATAATACTAATGGTAATATTGATGATCATATAAAAATTCTTAAAAAGCTCTTAAAAAGGTGCATAAATTGATGCTAATTCCACTTATCAACACCAAAATATCAATTATGGTCTTAACCGATTGGAAGATAATGATAATTACACAATAACCAGTAAAGTAGGTCAGTCCTAATTGTTACACGATTCTGAAATAGTATGACGAATGTAAGATTAAATGAATTAAAGACCAAATTGAAAATTACACATAATTTTCCAAAGACAACTAGGAGGCAATAAACATATGAGGAAGGAAATGTGTGAAATGATCTATAGAAAAGCATGATGCACGTATGCATACATATGGCCCGCTCATCATTAAGACCTAAAAACAAGCACTTTTTGAAAAAATTAAATGTAGAAATCATTATGACAAAAACGAAAAGTGAGAAAACATAGCTCGTAGACTAAAATATCGTAACAAAAACAAACAAGCGGAGAAAAAAGAAATTCTTACAACTATGTGTCAAGGAAACAATAAAAATATATCAATGGTATTTTTAGTTATAATTATTCAAATTTTTCAAATGAACTGTTTTGACGATGATGTATCTGGAAGTTCTGATTTTAATGGAGTAGTTTGACTAGAAGTTTGTTGCTGCTGAGGCGGTAGTGCATGCGACGATAATGGTTGGAAAAGAAAAGGGAACTGATATAACTCAGCTTTTAAACTAGGATATGAATTAGCTAGCATTTCTACATGTAGTCTTAATTGTTCACCTTCAGCTTTATACCGGGCTACTGTATTCTCTAAATTTCTTACTTGGGCATCACGTTCAGCTACTTGATTTTCTAACGATCTGATAAGTGATATTTTACGTTCACGACAACGACGTGCAGCAACACGATTACGAGCACGCTTTCTTTCCAATTTTAAATGATGCTGTTCATCTCCACCTGAAGGTGATACTGGAGTGTTATCCCTAACAGCATGACTAGTTCCTGTGCTAATTGATTCTGAATGATCACTACTATCATCCGCATCACCAGTAACCAAAGACTCAACTTTCCCGGTGAAACGTTTATTAGAATACTCACGATATGCTTGTGGGTTTGCGGCTGAATAATTCAGATAATTATAAACACTAGAATGGATTTTACAAGACACATCTGAGCTTCCACGTCCCCTTAAGTTACGTGATCGCTTTATATTGTTTTTACTTGTATCATCGAACATACCTTGTATCGGTATTATATCTGTACTACTATCGCACACAACTGCAAGGCCAGAATTAGTATTCAAAGTATTCATATGTGACTTTTTATTCCCTCCAAGGTGACGATTAGGATTTTGGAGACAGTTTGAATGAGTGACTAATGATAATGGTGTAGCAGAGAAAGAATTTAAACAACTGGTCACTGTAGGAAGTGAAGTTATATCTACTGTATCAGACTTGGAATTTGATAACCGTCGAAAACAAGTATTTCTCTGATCAAGATCACCATTATTTTCATTAGATAAAAATGAAGGAATTGCTGTGAGATTCGGCACAGAATTAACGGATACCTGATTTAAATCAGCACTTAGTATTCCAGGTGATCTCAAACTTTGCAACATATGAGCGTCCAGAAAGGAATCACATACAGGATTATTGCAGGGGATTAAATGACTGGTTGTTGTAGATCTACTGTTTGATTGAAGTAACAATGACTTATCAGAAAACTGGTTACCAAGTGTACAATACATTTCATCGAACTGATGATCGCATAAATTGCCATTGGTATGCTGAATAAATTAGGAAAAAATCAAGTTATTCACGATAGTATACAATTAAAACGTGAGAACATCACCATACCAAAGTTACAGAAACAGGTAATACAAATATGTCTCAGTCAGTCAAAAAATGTATGGAGTTGTGCGCATTTGGGTTAATTCAAGTTGTTGTACTTCGCATTAGTACAATGAAAAGAAAGTAACTAAATAAAAATCAAAGGAATGTTGATAGTAATCTCAACTGTGATGAAAGACAAGACAAACATTACAGAGAAGGGAGGAATGAGTTCAAAAGAATAAGTATGACTGAGCAAATGATTCAGAATATAAAGAATGAATATAATTGAGCTACTACGACTGAATTTCTGTCATATTACTTAATCTTTGATTAATGATTACAATTGTCTCCCGGATTCTAACTAAGAAGTTTATACCTCTCGACGACTAAGTCAAGAGCTTTTCGTAACTGCCGAAAACTCGCCAGGTCCTAACCCACCAGGGCTCATTAGATAAAGATTCGTGATGCAGTAAACATATTTTCCATAGATGAGAACAGCTTTAAATCAACGTTTTGGATTTACAAGAAAAAAACATAAATATTCTTGGATTACAGGTCCGTGTCCCGAAGTCTTTTCCATTGTTTACCCAGTCAAGGTAACCGCGCGAAAATTCTCGTACGCTGTTTTTTCCCTTATATGGTTTGGAGCTCATTATCAACAGCTTCCGAGGACTGATTATTCTAGCAGAATTCCAAAACCCGCAAACCTTTCCTCACCTTCTGGTTCAGGTTATTTGTACGTCACGGAAAACCGGGAATCATAACAAACCCCAGCAAGACATCGAGCGAGTGTATTCTTCCGACAGTTTGCGGTTGTAGTCCACACGTGATTCAGAGGCCTTCTACTGACTCACTTCAATAATACTGTCAGTGAGATTGTTTGTATCAATGTTGAGCTTTAAGTCAGAGCTTGTTATAAATAAACGGTCGTTTGAGAATAATTATAGATGACATTGCCATTATCTGGATTGATGTGCCGGAATGACGAAATCCTCTACCCAATTTCTTTGGTTGATTTAGTTTACCCACCCCACACCAGCCCTTTTAGTGCCTAGAAAGCTTTTGAAAGAACTCGTTTTTTATTTCATCCAGAATGCCTCCACTGAGTCCATAAACAAAAACTAAAGAAATACCGACATATGTCTTCATCTTTTTGAGTTCCATCCAATCGGACAACACACAAGCGACTATCTGCTTAAACTCAATCAAGAATCACTTGGTTGTCTTTTGAAATAAACATTACATAAATATCTGTGAGATTACTACCAGAAAATGTAAATCATTTTCTATGCGAAGTGTTAATAATAAATGTAAACCATTCATCGGCAAGAAAATTACCTACCAACACTATATTTTGAAACATGGCTATACAGTCAGCTTACAGATAAGGGTTTTTAAAAACGAAGTTGACAAGACGAATGTGTTGACAAACAGCTTCTCAAATCAGGATGTTGACAATAAATATGTCAGTTTTAATAACTAGGTGACTGCGTACATATTTACATCAGACGTGAATTAATGGAAAGTCTGTCAAAGTCTAACTACTCACATCAAAATAATTAAACAAAGCTATCAACGTAGGTTACGAATGTTTTCGAACAGATGTGCGAGAAAAGATCACTAAATACAAACTAAACAGTAATGTTTAACAATCAATTTACTGAGGTACGGAGTACGTAGTTTTAAAGGTGAATTACGTTTTAATAATAAGAAGTTACTTACAGAATCCGGTGGATGCGATAGACAGACATCGTTTCTGATTAATATACTATCGCTGTTACGAATCCCTGAGGATCCAGGTGACTGACCAGCGATGGAAGTCGGGTTCAAATGATTATCTAATAGGTGATCCGAAATATCTCGAGGTGTAGTCAACTGACAGCTAACAAAAAGATGAGCATGAGTCGTTTGTGTACTTTCATCACACGGATTACCATCAGTTGGTGTTGATTCAGTAACTGATGATAAATCAGGCGTTAAAATTCTACACTCTCTGACGGTAGGTAGATTTGGAAGAGCAGAAGAATACAGTTCAGTAAGAGCCTTTCTTATGCCAAAACCAGATGAATCATTGGTACACAATCGTGAAGTAGATGACAATGCTACCACGTCATCGCCAAAACCACTACATGAACCATTCATTTGAACAGCATCGTGATTCTCTTGAATAGCGTAATGAATAAGAATATCAGGAGCTTGTTCAGGATTACATGGTGTTAAAACTGGTAATTTTTGTGACAATCTACAATGAATACCATCATTATCATCATTAATACACAAAATATCTTTAACTGATGTCAAAACATTTTCTGATAATCTGTGAGATCCGATAATTTTGTGAGGATAAGATGGATTTGTAAAGCGTAATTCTGAAGAAAGTTCGTCTAAATTTGAACATAAATCTGTGGAAGTAATACCACGATCTGCAACAGCTCGTCTTAGCCCAGTGGCAATTGATGAAATAGTAGGTAGACTGGTTATCCAAGGGATTTCTGTATTCATCCTATGGATATTATTAGGATTTGAACTAGAAGTTGATAGGATATTGGAATAAAAATTTTCTTGAAATGGATCTGAGGTTGAGCTAAAGAGATATTTTAAGAAAATTATACATTGTAACTGAGTTACTAGTTAATTGTAACTACGAGCAAATAAGCTACATTTATTCCGAGAGAGATTGTATTACGGTGACAGGCTATACTTACTTCAGCCTTATTTGTTTAAATCTGTTTACAAAGTATTTATCAACCATTTATCAAATATGATTACTGTATATGATTATTTATTGTATTAAGATGGGGCTACTACTACTAAAATGGATTATAGTGAATTTAAATGATATTGTACACTCGACTCTGAAACTGATAAAAATCAAGTATACGTATGCAGTTTATTCCTACTGACAAAAAAACTTGACACATAATGGTATCATATCAAATAATATAAAATTATGGTGGATTTAGATAAGAAAAGAAACAATAAACAATGTCATAAATCGATTGTTGATATTTTACCTGTCGGATATTGAGTTGCAAAGTAATATGTAGTGTAAAAGCCGCTTGGAAACATACATCCAAGACTATTATAAGATAAACCCTTAGGAAAATATTCTTCACCATGTGAACATATCGTTAGACCCAAATTCCCTCCAAATAGATGGAGCAGCAGAGAATGAACGCAAAATGCAATCATGAATTCCTAACTTAAAAACTAGATTTTACGTAAGTTTGAAGCTACGACGATTTGGTTGTGCTATGTTAAGTCCACTCTAATCAATCTGATTTAATTGGTAGTTATGGAGTTACATGTATACATGGAAGAGTAAATAAGCTTCCATGACCCATCATTGTTTTGACTTCAGAGACAGATTCGGCGAAGTAAACATGTTGATTTCGGCAACCAGTAAATAACTTGGACACTGAATTGCATTTTATTAAAATAAGATTAGATAATCTGTAAGTTTGATGTTGTCTTTTACCAAGTTAAAAACGTAATGCGCATTCTTCAGAATCATCTACTGAATTTCGATGATAGGTTAGCTTAAAGGGAGAGTGAAATAGAATGATACCAAATAAGAGCGATAACGTTACAAAATTCAATTATTTCCATATATATGCTTTACGAACAATGAGGCATTCATATAGCGTGGTTATCAAGGTGGTAATAGACTTTTAGGTAGTTTGGTAAGAGATATGTAGGTCAATAAACCTTACAACGTGTATCGACTCCTTCCAAAGACACCCATGACAATGGTATTATTTTAGTAGATGAAGTTACTATTTAACGAATAACAATATCAGAGTCAACTGTACAACACGTTCCCAACATATTTACATGAGTAGGATGACGCTTGGAATATGGTTTAGATTGGTAACAAAATTATTCCTCAAGATTCAATGTAGAACCCTGTCAAGCCGTACATAAATTTATCGTGTATATAGTTGGTCTTTTATTAGTTCACGAAGAAGGAAACCAACTAACAAAGAATAAAACAAATGTTATTTAGTGGTTAAAATAGATACATCTTACCACTTAATCAACGAATACATAAAATTTGTTAGCAATCATTACAATTTGGGGAAATACTTTAACAAGTCCTCTTTTTAAAAACCGCCTATTAAGATTGCCATTCGAAAACAGAACTGAAAATCTTTTCTATAATAACAACAATAGTTTACTTATGATGCCAATATGAACAATTAATTGACTAAATTATAGTGAACAGATTGTAACAAAAAAAATCAATAACACGACAATTTTCTGTATTGGTTTTTTTTCTAGTTTCTTAAAAAGCAGCCAAATTCAATAAACGCACACAAACACATGTGACATTTTTTAAAAAATCCTCCTGATCAAAATCACACTCAAAGTAAATGAGTTAAGTTAGCCAGCAGGTTAAACATTGTTATCTTTTTTTCTTCAACTTCTCTAGAATTCTCAATATTTTTTCTGTTTACTAACGATAATGTAAACACGGATGAAACACGATATAAACAGTAATCGTTTTCCGACACCAAAATGAAATCCTTTTCGAATAGTACAGCTCTATAAGTGAGACGACTAAGTGGGACAATAATGATGGTTTGTGTTCAAAATTTAATTGAGATAAGGTAATTTATTTTGAACATTTTACCAGAAAAACAGCAAACCTAGTTCTAGCCAGCACGCATCTTTATTTATAATACTTGAGACTTAAGACAATATCGAGGCAATCCGTACAGGATGCGCACATGTCAATAAGAGACTGATCAATTGCAGTCATAAACATCAGTTAGAAGATTCAAATAAACAATCTAAGATGAATCTAAACATCACTTACAGTAAAAAAGAGTCAGAAACTCTCATATTAACTCATGAAATTGCACAAATCTTGTATTAACCTGGTGAAATTACTTTGCACCCTCTCTAAAGTAAACCACTTATACAGAGCGTTCTCAGTTCAGTTAAATGCTGCAGTTTGGTTGTGGAGTACATAGACAAGATGGTGAGGAAAATATCCATGGTTTTAGAAATTCCAAAGAAACGAAGACTATCAATGTGCCTGGACTAACCTTGGAATCAAGAGATTTACATTAGTTTTAGAAAGACACACGTTGGTTAACTTAGTGATTTAGAACTACTGCACTTGAAGATCCTTGATAGAAGTCCACGATTGTTATAGTTAACATTTATGTCACATTTGAGCTGTGGTTGCATGTGCGATAAGCTGAAAATATAGGATTTGTTAGTTCCTCTCAGTACATCAATCCTCATTGTGGTTATCATCAACAGCTCCTCACTATCATACATTTAAACAGGTATTGGCTTATACTTAGTTCTGAAGCTATATTTCGTTCTTAAGGTTTTTAACTCTAATACCCCTTGAAACAGGTACCTGGATATCAACTCAGCTCTAAGTATGAGGTCCAATGATAAAACCCACTTGCCTAAGCCAAAGTACGTGAAGAGGGGTTCGGACTTATTGGCTGAAAATTGAGTCCTTTAAACACTAAGCCACCGTCCTACTACTACACCGAGGTATGAGCTTGTTTATCTAGTTACCGATTTCTAAAAGCAAAAGTTCATACAGTTGCATATACTTTAATTTTGTAAGCGAATTATTAAATGTATTAGTTGTATATATTTCTCGTCCACAACTATCAGCTGCTCGATAATTAAACAATAGGTAATCCTGAGTTCGTATTCTTTCTTTTTTACAACTGGAGAGTATATAAGGCATTATTGCGTAAGGAACATTGATAGAATAGATTGACCAAATCAGTTATCGTACAGTATATTACAGATATTATTCTCCAAATCCCTAGTGCTATTATATTTTGAGAAAATTTCCAAACCGTTGTTGCAACCTTGACATGATGGTCGGGCTTGCCTATCGAGGAAGATACAACCACTTTTCATGAAGAAAGTAAAAGGTTACAGCAGGATCGCCACTGGCTTCTAGTCTGAGCCATATCTGATAACGTCTCTAGCCACCGTGTCGCACCATCTCTCGGACCCCAGCCAGGGAGTTGTGAAGGACCAACAGAAGCCACACCTTTGCAGCCTTCTTTCATACCACGACACCATGTCATACACTGACGATATATGTAACACCCTCTGTGTATCTGGAGATCCGATGGCTAGTTATCACGGACTGGTGGGTGTAGGCGTAGCACTAAGTACGACGGCGGAACAAGCACTATTAGAGTGGACCCCCGTTAACAGTCGCTTATGTGCTGTTCAGCTAAACGGCTTCGAAAGAACTCGGAAAGATAGGGACACACGTCGTTGCCTTTTTGTCGTTTTTGCTTACGCTACCACTGACTGCAGCTCAGATGAAGTGAAAGATGAATTTTACAGAAAGCTTTCTGAACTTCGTACAGCTAAGCGTTCAGACATAGTACTCGTAGCAGGTGACTTTAATGTCCAGACAGGTAGCTTAAAACAAACAAAAAGACATTTAGGTGGGAATTTCGGTATTCCTGCTCAGCGAACAGATAATGGTGACTGTCTGCTGCAACTGTGCTCAGACAATCGTTTATTTTAGCAAGCACTAATTTCAAGCATAAGAGACATCGTCTCGCATGGCGACCCCCTGCACCAAACCAACGATAGACTCAAATAGACCACATTGCCGTCAGTCATCGTTGGAGAGGGTCGATAGAAGATTGTCGCTTATTCTGGAATACCTACTTGGACTCCGACCATGCTTTAATACGCGTACGCATCTGCTTGCGGCTCACTGGATGCAAAAAACCACATTAAAAAGACCCATTAGAATTGAATTGAGTGGTGAGGAAACAAAAAGTAGGTTCCAGGAACAACTGATGTCACACTTAGGCAGTTCTAAAAACGAGGCTGACCCAGATGTTGCTTGGAAAGATATACAAACAGCTGTGTGAACAGCAGTGACATCTGTTAGTGATTTAAACCAAAGGATTTCTACTAAGTTTATTGCACTGATAAGTTCTCGTAAACTCATCCCATCAACCTCTGAACACGACGAAGAGCGAAAACAAATCAGACCTGGGTTAGCCGAAAGTTAAAGGAACGACCGTGAGCAGTGATGGGCAAGGAAAGCAAAAGAGATGGAAAATGTGACGGCTATAGGGAACACAAGACAGCTGTAAAGACTAATAAAAGAAACTGAAATTAAGAAGTCAAGTGTATGTGAGACTATCTCGGAAAAGGACGACACTCCTATCTGCTCCTAGTTCAGACGTTTGGGACGATGGGCGCAACACTATAGAGCAGTTTAGCTGGTCTTCAGCTACACTACAACTACCCACCATTCCCGGACAACGCGAATGGAACATTGAGGTAAGTAATAGTGAGGTTAGACGCAGGGTATTAGGGAATGATGGTAAATCAATTGATGAGGTTACAAATCTTCATCGACTGAGATGGTTGGGCCACATGTTGCGCATGCCTGAACACCGATTACCACGACGCGCAATGTTAACTGGTGTTGGAGATGGTTGGAATAAAGTTAGGGGCGGCCAAACCAAAACGCGGCATCGGTCATTGAAGTCACTAACTTCTAGTCTGAGCCATGTTGGTAGATGCAGACTACTTGGTTGGGGTCCGCGTGACTATCGTAACCAA